TTCACCATGTCATGTAGCACATTCGTCATGTCATGTATCGCATGCACCATATTATGTAGTGAAGAAACCATGTTATGTAGTGAAGAAACCGTGTTATGTAGTGTATTCACCATGTCATGTAGCGCATTCGTCATTTTATGTAGTGAATTCACCATGTTATGTAGTGAAGAAACCATGTTATGTAGTGTATTCACCATGTCATGTAGCGCATTCGTCATTTCATGTAGTGATTTCACCATGTTATGTTGTGTATTTACCATGTTATGTAGTGAATTCACCATGTTATGTAGTGTATTTACCATGTTATGTAGTGAATTCACCATGTTATGTAGTGTATTTACCATGTTATGTAGTGAATTCACCATGTTATGTAGTGTATTTACCATGTTATGTAGTGCATTCACCATGTTATGTAGTGTATTTACCATGTTTTGTAGTGAATTCACCATGTTATGTAGTGTATTCACCATGTCATGTAGCGCATTCGTCATTTTATGTAGTGAATTCACCATGTTATGTAGTGTATTTGCCATGTTATGTAGTGAATTCACCATGTTATGTAGTGTATTTACCATGTTATGTAGTGAATTCACCATGGTATGTAGTGTATTCACCATGTCATGTAGCGCATTCGTCATTTCATGTAGTGATTTCACCATGTTATGTAGTGTATTTACCATTTTATGTAGTGAATTCACCATGTTATGTAGTGTATTTCACCATTTTATGTAGTGAATTCACCATGTTATGTAGTGTATTTACCATGTTATGTAGTGAATTCACCATGTCATGTAGCGCGTTCGTCATTTCATGTAGTGATTTCACCATGTTATGTAAGTGTGTTATGTAGTGAATTCACCATGGTATGTAGTGCATTTACCTTGTTATGTAATGCATTTACCATGTTGTGTAGTACATTTACCATGTTATGTAGTGCATTCACTATGTTATGTAGTGAATTCACCATGTTATGTAGTGTACTCACCATGTCATGTAGCGCATTCGTCATTTCATGTAGTGATTTCACCATGTTATGTAGTGTATTTACCATGTTATGTAGTGATTTCACCATGTTATGTAGTGTATTTACCATGTTATGTAGTGCATTCACCATGTTATGTAGTGCATTAACTATGTTATGTAGTGCATTCACCATGTTATGTAGTGCATTTACCATATAATGTAGTGCATTCACCATGTTATGTAGTGCATTAACCATATAATGTAGTGCAAAGTACGAAAACGCAATCTATTGATTAAAGTTTCACTTATTATTACATAAAAAATTATGATGCATACTTCAAATATATATGTTGTAGGATGCATGTAGTTGTGCATGGTAGATGCTTGTTCGACGCTATATAATAAATAACACATACAGTGGTCATTACCATAATAATGATGATGCCCTCGCATTCTGCCACAATCCCCTGGGCAAGTAACAAATCGTGATATTGTTATTATTTATCTAGTTAGTTAAACTATAACGAACCTAATATAATCTATGGGAGGCAATGGTGAATGCATCACATAGATGACATGGTGAATAATGTACCATACACCATGATATTGTACGACTTATAATAGCTGTGGCTTTCCAGAGAAACCTATGCCAGAAACCCGATTCCAACGTTGATGAGAGCTTCAGTAGGTCAACTAATACAGTAATAATATATTATAACAACCTACAAGCCTGTCTCACACCATTTAGGATATGCACGCTTTCTGACAGAAACAAAACAACATCTGGCATGAAATTGTTGATTTCTATAAGAATACACAATTATATCGGTTACTCAGCAAAATTGATATTATTTTACATTCTGTCATATTAAGTTTAAATAAATGTTATGGCTGCAATGTAGATTGTTTGATGATGGAAATATGTATATTCGAAATGAATGAATATATTTTAATGTAACAAGCTAACAAGTTAACTTAGTCTGACTTAGTCTTGTGTATCACGTCAGTAGTGACGCAATCATTGATGCTTCCTTGGCAGCCTATACACGGTCGATTAGACCAAACCGGAGCGGTTAAACTGTTCACTGCGAAAATAGTAAGTAAGTCTTTCACTAAATTTAGATTGTTGAAAAACATTGAAGTCATACCCCACTTGAAATAATATGTCATTTCAAATTTCTTAATACATTAACGATAGTCGATAATGATCATGCCTGATCCTCTGAGAGTTCTCAAAGGTGCCATTGTTAGTTCTGCGTAAAACGAACACGCCGATGTCACATTTTTGCGAGA